AGGTTTATGCCTAAAGTCAGACATGCGTTCATAAATATGTATACATCAGCTGTGCTTGCTATTAAAAGTCTTTCAATTAATTTAGATCTTTAGTGAAGCAATAAGATGTGGGGGAAAAAAAGGCATGGAAAACAACTGTACATACTAGAGACAGTGTGTGAGAAGAGAGGGAATTGGCAGAGGGTTAGAAGTAGGGAATCAAGGGACCAGCAGTTAGAGTAATGGCTATGTCGCTGAACTCCCATGTAGTCAACAGCGGTTTGAGTCCTGGACCTGGTGGCTTAAAGCTCACGCCGGGAGCATGTGTGTGGGTGTGTGCCCAAAATCCCCAGAGGAGAATGGAGGAGAAGGGACTGCGGTGTGGCCATCCCCGCGGGGGGGGTGATTTCTCGCTTTCTGTCTCTCTCTTGTCTGGCAAGCGCACAGGCCCTATAGCAGAAACCTCTAAAAAAAAAAAAAAAGAAGTAGGGAATCAAGTGGGGGAAAAAGAGCAAGATATATAACAAACAAAAAATAGAAAATTATTTGTTGATGATAACATGTATGGCTATATCTTTGATTGATCCAATATACAATGTATATTGACTAGATGGAAAATTCATTTTGTATACTGTATTGTTAATAAATAAATATTTTTTAAAAATCACACTACACCCCCTGGGAACCAGCAGTTAGCGTAATGGCTATGTTGCTGGACTCCCACATAGTTGACCGCGGTTCGCGTCCCGGACCTGGTGGCTTAAAACTCACGCCGGGCACGTGTGCGTGCGTGCCCAAGATCCTGAGAGGAGAATGGAGGAGAAGGGATTGCAGCGTGACCATCCCCCCTGGGGGGTGATTTCTCGCTTTCTGTCTCTAATGTCTCTCTCTGACTGTCTGGCAAGTGCACGCATCCTATAGTGAAAATCTCTCAAAAAAAAAAAATCACACTACACTCCACAAATATGGGAAATTATGTGTAAAATAAAATATGAATTATGTTAAAAAACTGTATTTCACAGTAAAGGACATTATTGACAATGTAATATATACTTCCAAAATAACCATTAAAGAAAAGATGGAATGCATACAACATAATGTAATGTTGTATGCGAAAGGTAGTGGATATGTTTATATCCTCAAATTATTTACTACGCACTATATACATATTTGTAAAAACCATACTGTATCCTATAAAAATGCACAATGATTGCATGTAAATTAGAAATTAAAATTTTAAAATAAAAATAATTAAAAAAAAATAATTTAGTACATGGTATCTGAAAAATGGTCAGCACATCATCTTTAATTGAGGTATTTATAGATTAATGCTGAAGAGAGAAAGTAAACAAACAATGAATAGGGCAAATGTATGAAATAAGTATTGGAAATTATAGTAAGATTTCATATCAGAATGCTTAAGTTCTAGTCCAGGCTCTACCACATGCCATTTTATGACCTTGGTTCAATCAGTTAACTAGAAAGAAACACCAACTCTTCATCTATGAAATGCAGGAGAAATCACCTAACTCAGAGAATGACAATCAAAGTAATAACGTGTGGAAGGAAAATCCTTGAAAAATAATAGAATAATTTAAAGTGTAAGTAATAAGACCATTTTAAAAAGCAGAAATAACTTTTAAAAATTATTGTATGTTGGTGCAATGGTTACGTTGTTGGACTCCCATATAGTCAACCACAGTTTGAGTCCCAGATTCGGTGGTTTAAACTTCATAATAGGTGCATGCATGCCCAGATCCCAAGAAGAGAACAGAGGTAAAGGGACTGTGGCATGGCCATCCCCTCTTGGGGATGTCTCTGTCTGTCTGTCTCTCCAGCGAGTACATGCACCCTATAGCAAAAAATCTCTCTTAAAAAAAAATTATTATATGTGGGGAGACTCTTTAAAGCAATCAAGGTCCACGGGCCATTTTGGAAGTGAGAAGAATTTTTGTTTATCAACCTGATCTACTTTCTGAGTATGGAGCATGCAAGAGGCAAGGAATGGAAATCCACAGAAAAGCCGAGGAAAGAATACAGAAATCCCAAGTGTGAACAAGTGTCCATAGAAACTGAAGAGCAACAGTGGGCTTCCAGTCAACCAAGCACACCTACAAGGTTACCAACAACCTCAGCAAAGGGGAAGAAAAATCTGTGAATGATGACAAAGCTTCCTGTCCAAAGGAGAAGGCACAATACAACGATAGCCTACAGCTTCAAAAAAAAGATGCCAATTCCCCCATTACCCTCTAAACTGTCACCAGTTAACTGGCTTCCCCAAGACATTTTGTGGGCTTGATGCCAACAATTAAAAAACAGCTCCAAAGGCCAGAAATGAGATGAAATTAGATACAGGAGACTGCATCCCTGCACTTATCCAAAATCAAAATTATATTCCTACTACCATAGCAAAAGAGGCCAGGATTGAGACATTATGAAGAAAATTAGAGGTAGGCAGAGGGAAAGCGTCTGTAGAAAGTCCTCAGGAAGGGATGTGTTCTGAAAGGGCTAATCCTCCGCCTGTAGAGGCTTTGCTTAACCCCAAAGAGTCTGCCACTCTCAAAGGAGTTATTACAGCTGAGGTGACAGAGGCTCTGGTGGCTTCCTGGGTCAGAGTTGAATCCATGGCTGGGAGGATGGAAGTAGCAGAATCAGGGGCCACGGAATCCCCACAAGAGACCTATAGTGTCAGGTGGTGTGTGGTCCATGGGAGAAGTCTCTCTGCAAACACAGGGTTGCATTCACCTGCAGTTTCATGATCTGCAAACACAGGGTTGCATTCACCTGCAGTGTCATGCTGAACAATGCTGGGTTCCTGAGAAGCAAAAAGGGAGAGTCTGTGCACTGTTTCTATTTCTAGCCTGCAATTTCCAGCTCTGCACCTGAAGGACAATATATTATGCCTGAAATGTGTTCAAAGGAACAGGATCTTAATGAAAAGTCTCCAGTAAGATTAGAATACCAGGAAAATATAACCACATCTATGGTTGTAATTAACATTAGAAAAGTTGGACAGTTGACTCCACAGTGCCACAGACAGTTGAACTCTGGTCCTCCATGCTGGCCAAACTTCTTGCTGCTCAGAGGCCATGAAAACTGGTAAGATGCCCATGTTACCCTTGGACCCACACAGTGCCTGTTGCTTCACAGGCTGAGGTAAAGACTATGTCTGAAAGTGGAAAAGACTTTCACAAATGACCATGCATCCAGTTAGTAAGATGATAAAGTTGTTCCTACTATGAAATGTCTATCCTTCTGAACTAGAAAGGACTTCAACAGCTCTTTGAAGTGGGAACTTCCTCAGTGGTGCACCTCGAGGAGTTGGGGCAGGAAACTCATTTGCTTTGTGTTGGATTTTTTTCCTCCTCAGGATACTGATGACTTAGGAGATGATCCATTCTGACTGTAAGTTTAATAAATGAAAATACTTTTTAAAAAGTATTATATGTGGGGGCCAGCAGGTGATGTGGTGGTTAATTTCCTGGATTCCCACATGGCCAACCAAGGTTCATGTCCTGGACCCGATAGCTTGAAAATTAAAATAGATAGATAGATACAGAGAGAGAGAGACAGATAGACAGACAGATAGACAGATGGATAGATGGATGTAATCCCAGTCAGAATGGCTATGATTAAAGAAATAAAGAGTGACAATGCTGGCAAGGCTGTGGTGAAAAGGGAACCCTCTTACATTTTGGTGGGAATGTAAACTGGTACAGTCACTGTGGAGAACAATATGAAGGTTCCTCAAAAACCTAAAAATAGAACTACCACAGGAGCCAGTAATAGCACTCCTGGGTATTTACCCAAAGGAAAGTAAAGCACTCAGTCAGAAAGACACTCCACATTCATGTTTACTGCAGCATTAGTCACATTGCTAAGAAATGAACTCAGCCTAAATGCCTGAGAACAGATGCCTGTATTGAAAAAATGTGGGACATATACACTATGGAGTACTACTCAGCTATTGAAAACAATGAGACCTTGTCATTTGATACAAGGTGAATTAACAGAAGATGTAATGCTAAGCAAAGCAAGCCAGGCTATTGAAGACGAATATTGTAAGTCCCCATTTATACTGAACGTCTACACATTCTATGTCAGACATGTTCAGATTTGAAGATGTATCAATAATAGCAAGGAGAGCAAGTGTAGGTATCCAAGACTGCATAGGAGCAAGTGAATACTAGGAAGTGGGAGGGAAGGGCTCAGGAAAACACACACATACACACATTTGAAAGGCATAGAATGGGGCCCAGTAGGTGGTATAGTGGTTAAGGTGTTGGACTCTGACATGCCTGACCATGGTTCAAGTCCCAGACCCAGTGGCTTGAAACTCACACCAGGTATGTGTGCATGCAAGCCCAAAATCCCAAGAGGAGAATGAAGTAGGAATTACAGTGTGGCTATCCCCAGTAAGGGGTGATTTATCACTCTGTCTGTCTGTCTGTCTCTCTCTCTCTCTCTCTTTCTCTGTGTGTGTGTGTCTCTGGTGAGCATATGTGCCCTATAGCAAAAATCTCTCTTTAAAAAAAAGACATAAAACTGCAAAGTTATATGTTGAAAATTATATATATATGATAATATCTTTGATTTGATTTAAATGCACTGCACACATGCTTGGAAAAACCATACTGTATGCTAAAAGATGTACAATGATTAAATGTAAATTCTAAAAGTACATTTAAAATAAAAATGAAGTGTTACTGAAAATTTGCTTCCTATATATTGCTAACAATCAAACTTATTTACAACTACACATATGACAACATTTATTAGAATTTCATTTTCTAACAGGAGTAAAACTGAAATACCAAGTGTGACTTCTGGATAGAGTTTTTAAACATGGATCAGGCATAAAGTCAGTTCGAAACACTTGATAAAATGTGGTTCAAAATAAATTTTTTCCAGATTTCTTCAGAGTCTTTAATATGACTATATTCCATGAGAATGGTATTCACTGGAAATGTTACTGGTAGTATAGGTGCCAGGCAGGGGGCAAGTATTACAAAACACGTTACCCATATCTGGATCTTCCATGTCATCGTCTTCATCTTCTTGTATTTCCTCGATGTGCATGTTATTTTCCACATGGGATATTATTAAATCAATATCATGTAACACCAAATATTCCACTGGTACTCCCTAGAAATACAGTAATTTTAAAAAATGACTAAATGTATCCAAGTACTTTAATATAAAAACATGTTTCACTTATTTGACATTAAAATTAAACTAAATCAGAGTCAGCAGCTGGCGGTAGTGGTAAAGGCACTGGACTCCCACGTGGCTGACTGTGGTTTGAGTCCTGGAATCAGCTGCTTGAAAATCACACCAGGTACGTGTGCAGGCATGCCCAAAATCCCAAGAGGAGAATGGAGACGAAGGGACTGCAGCATGGCCTGGAGTGGGGTGTGATTTTTTCACTTTCCTCTCACTGTTTCTTTCTTTCTTTCTCTCTCCAGTGAGTGCACAGGCTTTATGGGAAAAAAAAAAAAAAATAGGCGGCTAAAACTTTTGGACTTCAATTTTAAAAGTAAATAAAATGAAGAAAAGAAATTAATTCCACAATTGTTATGAAAATAAAAGCATACTTTATATAAAGGCAGTGTGCACTACTGAAAAAGATGGCAAGAAGAAAAGAATTCAAAGTCTCACATCTTGTAACTGAAGTCTGTGAAACATTTCACATAAAACAGCAAGTCCTGCCTCAATATAAAAATAGAGATATAGGGGCCAGCAGATGCTGTAGCGGTTACATCACTGGAATACCATATGGCCAACCATGGTTCAGGTACTGGACTTGGTGGCTTGAAACTCACACTGGGCGTGTGTGTGTGTGTGTGTGTGTGTGTGTTTGTATGCGTGTGTGTGTGTGCACATGCCCAAGATTTTAGGAAGAGAAGGGACTGCGCCAAGGCCATCTCCCCTGGGGAGTAATTTCTCACTTTCCCTCTCACTGTCTCTGTCTGTCTCTCTCCAATGAGCACACACACCCTAAGGCACAAACCTCTTAAAATATATATATATACAATTGTATTGCAAACAGAGCCAATCAAAATAGATTATTTTGATATCCCACAGAAACATTCAAAACAACACTTTACCTAAAATAATTCCACTGAAAAGGTCAATTTCCCGGCATCAAATTATTATTCACTCCCAGGCATTTTAATACCAAATTTTTTTTCCAGAGAGAAATTTTTGCTATAGGACATATGTGCTCACTGGAGAGACAAAGAGAGACAGAGTGACAGAGCGACAGAAAGTGAGAAATCACACCCCAGGGGGGATGGCCACACCACAATCCCTTCTCCTCCATTCTCCTCTTGGAACTTCGGGCATGCACATATAAACACCCAGTGTGAGTTTTAAGCCACTGGCTCCAGGACTTGAACCATGATAAACTATGTGGGAGGCCAGCAAAGTAACAATTACACCATCTGCTGGTCCTTTAATACCAAATTCTATTACATTGAGATCAATATCATTCCATTAAAATTTCTGTCACTAATATCCAATTATCAGATATTTTAAAAATGAATTATAGACCACTAGATTCTTTTAGCAAATTATCACTGACTCTAACTACATATTGTAATAAAGTTATAAAAAAGCTTCAAATTTTGTTCTTCAACATCATATATCTTCATTTTTTAAATATTTTATTCAAAGTAAGTGGCTTTCAACTCCTTCAGAACATCCGGATAATAGGCATCCCAGAAGGCGAAGAGACTCATAAGGGCATTGATAATCTATTCCATGAGATGCTGCAGGAAAACTTTCCAAACCTAGAGAGGCACTCAAAGATTCAGTCCCAAGAAATACAGAGGACCCCAAATAGAATCAACCCAAGAAGATCTTCTCCAAGACACATTATAGCCAGATTGACCAAAACAACAGACAAAGACAAGATACTAAGATTGGCAAGAGAAAAACGGCAAGTTACCTACAAGGGTATCCCATCAGACTAACAGCAGATCTCTCATCGGAAACAATGCGAGCGTGGAAAGAATGGGAAAAATATTCAACGTGTTAAGGGAAAAGCAATTTCAATGGAGAATACTGTACCCAGCAAGATTATCTTTCATGTGGGAAGAAAAGACATGAACATTCCCAGATAAACAAAACCTGAAAGAATTTACCAGCACCAGACCAGATCTCCAAGAAGTTCTTAAGGGAGTGCTATGTCAGTAAAATTAAATGCAGACACACAGAAATAAGAGTTCAAAAACTAAGAAAATGGGCAACTTAATTGTAGGGACAATATCTGGAGATGAATATT